TATCATGCATTCCTATCTGAGAGCACACATTTCATTTAATTTTATTTCCATAATAGATGAATTCGGGTGTATTAACTTTTGACCTTGTGATCTGCATGTGTGACAAAATAATCTCAACTAAAGGTTTACTTTTTAGCTTTCAACCATATCTTATAGTCTTCATCAGTGAGTGGATGAAGTCAGGTTATCATTGGATAACATATGTAGATCACATGATGACACGTGAGCGAGTTCCATTAACCACTGAAGACTGCATGGGACGATTGAAAGCCCTGACAATGCTAGCCAGTAGACCTTGAGATGTTAGTGTTACCTTTGGCACAAATGATTGTGCCCAAAAGTTAGATCATTAAGCCAAATGTAGAATTGTTTTCTCAGATTTCTTGCTGGTGGATCATGCCAGAGAGAACTATTCTGTCAAACAGATTATTTGTGGCAGCAGGGATCCCCACCACACACAGTATCTAATATGCATATAAACAACTTGGCTTGGAATGTACGGAGTCATACTAGTGCCAAAATAATGCTCGCCAAGGGAAGTAGTTTTCTGCCTCTTTGAAAACTCTAAACAAAATGTCAGTTTGCATGCAGAATTTTAACACTAAAATAAAATCTTAACCAATGTGACCAAAAGCCATGTTAACCTGTCAATATATACCGCTGAGGTGTGTTTCTGTTCATGTATGTTTTTAAGTGTAGTTTCCTATATGTATACAAGTGTATAAACATAAGAATTTGAGTCCCACAGTGACAAGAATGAACTCTGAGAAAGAAACACAGCTGCTGACAACCATCATGAGTGACTGCTGCACATTAACCCTAACCCTAACCCTAACCCTTTGTTCTGCATTTTGCCTCTGCCCTTATCTTACTGATTTGATTCTCTTTAAATCACATTTTTTTCACCTTGGATTTACCCTTCAAAGCAATAAGACTGGATATCAGTTTAATTTCAAGTTTAAATTTCCACAGAACTGGATGTTTTCCTTGACCCTAATGCTCCACCAGTTTTACACAGGAAGGTCAGTTTACTCCTAATGAAGAGTACTTACTCAACCTTAGAAAACAGTTGTTTAATGTTTTTATGGCTCTGGGTGAGCTTTTTTAAAGGACCAGTGTGTAGGATTTAATGGCATCTGGCGGTGTAGTTGCTGATTGCAACTCCCTCACCTCACCCTCCGGTTCCAAGTGTGTATGAGAAATTACAGTGGCTGCATAATTTGCAAAAAACGCAAAAGGCCCTATCTAGAGCCAGTGTTTGGTTTTCCATTCTGGGCCACTGTAGAAACATGGCAGTTTAACATGGCGGACTCCGTATAAGAGGACTCACTTCCACTGGACTTTCAAGTCTAAGAAAACAACCGTGATGATGTCATCAGTGTTGTCATCATCAGCAGAGTTGAGACGTTCTGCTTGTCTGCTGTGAGCGCAAGCACACCGATTACTGTCTGTTTTTTTGGAGCAGCTGATAGCCGCACAGTTTTATAGATTATAACTAGGGGTGTCCGATAATATCATTAAAAATGTAATATCTGGAATTATC